AATGCAAGCCCCTCTCCTGGGCACCTTCTTCTCCCCATGCCAAATGACATTAACTTCCCCCCTTCTGCTTTTACATTTTGAAACCTTTCGGGAAAAAAATTATTAGGTTCCATCCAAAGTTTTGGGTCTCTTTGAATTTCATAAACATTTACTAAAAGTATTGTGCCTTGGTCCGCATCATATCTTCCGAATTTAAAATCATCTCTTGCTACATGAGGTATAAGGAGAGGTCCAGCAGGGTATAATCGTAGTGTTTTGTTAATAATGCAGTGAAGGTATGGAAGTTTGGTGAGATCAGATTCATTAAGGAGGCGGTCGTGTCCAACTTGCTTGTCTATCTCTTGTCTCGCTTTCTCTAATTTTTCAGGATGGTTTAATAAAAGAGACATTGATCATTCAATTGTATTTGAAGAAGTTTCTGTGCCTGCAGTTACTAAGCTCTTACAAAAAGAAAGAAAATAAACAAGATTGTGTCAATATTCATGTAAATGATGAATTAAAATTCTTATAATTAAATGCAAAAGACCTTTATTTTTGTATGAAAGTTTTAATATATTTGTCAAAAAAAGGTTATTGAAATTTCTATCATTAAACAAAATGATAGATTCAAAAGTTGATGTGAACTTTATAATTTTTTTTTTGCCCTTCTCAGTGTCGTTCTAAGCTCTATGAAATTTAGTGTATCAAACAACTTGTCTGAGTCAGTGCAGTAAAATGAAGCCCAAGAGCACAAATAATTATTTCCAAACTTAACACAAAATATATAAAGAAAAAAAAATTCACATGAGAAACTCACAAAAACTAGTGCTTTAATGAAACCATATGTATATTGATTTGGATGATTTTCGTGCAAAGAAAACAAAGCATCAATCATGGTTCTATCAATCTTCTCCTTCAACTTCCCATTTTTATTATCCTTCTCCTCCATTCTTTTTCTCCTGTGCTTTTCTATAAGTGACCGGATGATCTCATCCCTGTACTTGTGATACCTCGCCATTTTTCTCTTCACTCCATGACGTGCAATCCACCCAATCATCGCCGGTAAAAAATCTCCCACATTGGTCATGCTAGAAAGGGAGTTGATTTTCTCATTCACCTCCTTGAACTTATATACATCTTTGTCATTCTCACCATCATCCTCATAATACCTTATCCCTAAAAATTGACATAATTGATAATCGGAAATTTTAATAAAAAATTTTAAATTAAAACTGGAAACCTGATATAGTCTTCGTTATGATGTTCACTGCCAGCCGAAACAAGCAAGTCCTAAGCTCCACCCTTCCAGAGTTACGAAAAAGGTGTCGGGCAAGGGCCCTAACCTCCTCAGCACGAACATCGGCAAAAAATTCTAGGCGATGGCTCGAAAGTGCTTCAAGGGTGGCAATTCGGCGCATCTCTCGCCACTGCGGTCCATAGGAGGTGAAAGGGATATTGGTATAGTTGTACGTGGTAACAGAAACAGAAGAAAATTGAGGGCGGTCGGGAAAAACAATGTCATTGGTCTTTAAGCACTCTTCAGCGAGGGAGGCGGAGGAGACAACGAGGACAGGACGGAATCCGAATCGAAGGAGGAGAAGAGGGCCGTGCTTGGCAGAGAGACGGGCCAAAGATTGGTGTAGGGGCTTCTTGAGGAGGTGGAGGTGGCCAAGAATGGGAAGGGAACTGGGAGGACTTGGAGGGAAATTTTTCTTTTTGTTCTT